TGTTCAGCAGCAGAAACACACTTTAAAATCTTATGCGCAGTTTCCCAATCACTGAACATACAAGCTTTTTTATACATGTAATACTGCTCAGCACAGTTAAATGCTATTCCTTCAATAACAATCTCAGTAGAAAAATGTTGACTAAACACTGAAGTTCTGGTGTAAAAAAATACATACTTGTCAGTTGTTCGGGTTCCCATGATCAGATTCGAGATGTATACTGGCGTGAAGATTTCGTCTTGTTGACAAGATCGCTGTTTAAGCACGAATGAAAGCTTCAACAGTTAAACACTGCTTAACTTCTATAAAATTGAATTTCATTGGTGTACTTTGTCTTCCTTAGCGTTTCATTGGTTACTGAGTATTCATCGTACCATACATTTAATAAGTGGATGACACGTTGATCCTGGAATGTTATTGTTATAGGGTTAACAGGTTCAGCGGCTAAAACCCACACACGAATAGATTTACTCTTGCGTATAAAGAGTGGGTAAGAGAGAGAGCTACCTCTAGTGTATTGATACTAGTGAGCGGTGACATAGTTACATGTTTGAACAGAGCGAATATATACAGAGCCAGCCTTACTGCTGGTCTCCTTTAGCAAAATTTGCTTCTATTGTGTGAAAGGTATTGACTGACCTCTGTGGTATGCTCCACAAGAATGCTTTTGTTTGTTTCTTTACTCTATGCGTCTTTAACACTTAGTGAAACGTGAATGAAGTAGAGAAAAATGTTTATAAACGAATTGATTTCGGTGAAAGGGTTAACAGGTTCAGCGGTTAAAACCCACACACGAGTAGATTTATAGAAATGCTGCTCCACAGGAATGCTTTTGATGGAAATTCAACGCTCCACAGGAATGCTTTTGTTGGAAATTCTTTGCTCCACAGGAATGGTTTTGATGGAAATTCTTTGCTCCACAGGAATGTTTTTGATGGAAATTCTTTGCTCCACAGGAATGTTTTTGATGGAAATTCCACGCTCCACAGGGCTGCTTTTGTCCGGAAGGTAACAGGAATGCTTTTGTTGGAAATTCAATGCTCCACAGGAATGCTTTTGTTGGAAACTCCATGCTCCACAGGAATTTGTTGGAAATTCTATGCTCCACAGGAATGCTTTTGTTGGTGCTCCACGCTCCACAGGAATGCTTTTGTCCGGAAGGTATTACTTTCTCTCTACTCTTGGTACTCGCTGTAGCGTGGCTGTGTTAGACTTGGTACTCACTGTAGCGTGGCTGAGTTAGACTTGGTACTCACTGTAGCGTGGCTGTGTTAGACATGGTACTCACTGTAGAGTGGCTGTGTTAGACTTGGTACTCACTGTAATGTGGCTGTGTTAGACTTGGTACTCACTGTAACGTGGCTGAGTTAGACTTGGTACTCACTGTAACGTGGCTGAGTTAGACTTGGTACTCACTGTAACGTGGCTGTATTAGACATGGTACTCACTGTAGAGTGGCTGTGTTAGACATGGTACTTACTGTAACGTGGCTGAGTTAGACATGGTACTCACAGTAGCGTGGGTGAGTTAGACTTGGTACTCACTGTAGCGTGGCTGTGTTAGACTTGGTACTCACTGTAACGTGGCTGTGTTAGACATGGTACTCACTGTAGCGAGGCTGTGTTAGACATGGTACTCACTGTAGCGTGGCTGTGTTAGACTTGGTACTCACTGTAGCGTGGCTGTGTTACACTTGGTACTCACTGTAGCGTGGCTGTGTTAGACTTGGTACTCACTGTAGCGTGGCTGTGTTAGACACGGTACTCACTGTAGCGTGGCTGTGTTAGACACGGTACTCACTGTAGCGTGGCTGTGTTAGACATGGTACTCACTGTAACGTGGCTGTGTTAGACTTGGTACTCACTGTAACGTGGCTGTGTTAGACATGGTACTCACTGTAGCGAGGCTGTGTTAGACATGGTACTCACTGTAGCGTGGCTGTGTTAGACTTGGTACTCACTGTAGCGTGGCTGTGTTACACTTGGTACTCACTGTAGCGTGGCTGTGTTAGACATGGTACTCACTGTAGCGTGGCTGTGTTAGACACGGTACTCACTGTAGCGTGGCTGTGTTAGACACGGTACTCACTGTAGCGTGGCTGTGTTAGACATGGTACTCACTGTAACGTGGCTGTGTTAGACTTGGTACTCACTGTTACATGGCTGTGTTAGACACGGTACTCACTGTAGCGTGGCTGTGTTAGACATGGTACTCACTGTAACGTGGCTGTGTTAGACATGGTACTCACTGTTACATGGCTGTGTTAGACATGGTACTCACTGTAACGTGGCTGAGTTAGACTTGGTACTCACTGTAGCGTGGCTGTGTTAGACTTGGTACTCACTGTAGCGAGGCTGTGTTAGACATGGTACTCACTGTAGAGTGGCTGTGTTAGACATGGTACTCACTGTAACGTGGCTGTGTTAGACTTGGTACTCACTGTAACGTGGCTGAGTTAGACTTGGGACTCACTGTAGCGTGGCTGTGTTAGACTTGGTACTCACTGTAACGTGGCTGTGTTAGACATGGTACTCACTGTAGCGAGGCTGTGTTAGACTTGGTACTCACTGTAGCGTGGCTGTGTTAGACATGGTACTCACTGTAGCGTGGCTGTGTTAGACTTGGTACTCACTGTAGCGTGGCTGTGTTAGACTTGGTACTCACAGTAGCGTGGCTGTGTTAGACTTGGTACTCACTGTAGCGTGGCTGTGTTAGACATGGTACTCACTGTAGCGTGGCTGTGTTTGACATGGTACTCACTGTAGCGTGGCTGTGTTAGACTTGGTACTCACTGTAGCGTGGCTGTGTTAGACATGGTACTCACTGTAGAGTGGCTGTGTTTGACTTGGTACTCACTGTAGCGTGGCTGTGTTAGACTTGGTACTCACTGTAGCGTGGCTGTGTTAGACATGGTACTCACTGTAATGTGGCTGTGTTAGACATGGTACTCACTGTAACGTGGCTGGGTTAGACTTGGTACTCACTGTAATGTGGCTGTGTTAGACATGGTACTCACTCTAACGTGGCTGTGTTAGACTTGGTACTCACTGTAACGTGGCTGTGTTACACTTGGTACTCACTGTAACGTGGCTGTGTTAGACATGGTACTCACTGTAATGTGGCTGTGTTAGACATGGTACTCACTGTAGCGTGGCTGTGTTAGACATGGTACTCACTGTAGAGTGGCTGTGTTTGACTTGGTACTCACTGTAGCGTTGCTGTGTTAGACTTGGTACTCACTGTAGCGTGGCTGTGTTAGACTTGGTACTCACTGTAACGTGGCTGTGTTAGATATGGTACTCACTGTAGCGTGGCTGTGTTAGACATGGTACTCACTGTAACGTGGCTGTGTTGGACTTGGTACTCACTGTTACATGGCTGTGTTAGACATGGTACTCACTGTAGCGTTGCTGTGTTAGACTTGGTACTCACTGTAGCGTTGCTGTGTTAGACTTGGTACTCACTGTAGCGTGGCTGTGTTAGACTTGGTACTCACTGTAACGTGGCTGTGTTAGATATGGTAATCACTGTAACGTGGCTGTGTTAGACATGGTACTCACTGTAACGTGGCTGTGTTGGACTTGGTACTCACTGTTACATGGCTGTGTTAGACATGGTACTCACTGTAACGTGGCTGAGTTAGACTTGGTTCTCACTGTAGCGTGGCTGTGTTAGACTTGGTACTCACTGTAGCGAGGCTGTGTTAGACATGGTACTCACTGTAGAGTGGCTGTGTTAGACTTGGTACTCACTGTAACGTGGCTGTGTTAGACTTGGTACTCACTGTAATGTGGCTGTGTTAGACTTGGTACTCACTGTAACGTGGCTGAGTTACACTTGGTACTCACTGTAACGTGGCTGAGTTAGACTTGGTACTCACTGTAGCGTGGCTGTGTTAGACTTGGTACTCACTGTAGCGTGGCTGTGTTAGACATGGTACTCACTGTAACGTGGCTGTATTAGACATGGTACTCACTGTAGAGTGGCTGTGTTAGACATGGTACTCACTGTAACGTGGCTGAGTAAGACATGGTACTCACAGTAGCGTTGCTGAGTTAGACTTGGTACTCACTGTAGCGTGGCTGTGTTAGACTTGGTACTCACTGTAACGTGGCTGTGTTAGACATGGTACTCACTGTAGCGAGGCTGTTTTAGACTTGGTACTCACTGTAGCGTGGCTGTGTTAGACATGGTACTCACTGTAGCGTGGCTGTGTTAGACTTGGTACTCACTGTAGCGAGGCTGTGTTAGACTTGGTACTCACTGTAGCGTGGCTGTGTTAGACTTGGTACTCACTGTAGCGTGGCTGTGTTAGACTTGGTACTCACTGTAGCGTGGCTGTGTTAGACATGGTACTCACTGTAGCGTGGCTGTGTTTGACTTGGTACTCACTGTAGCGTGGCTGTGTTAGACTTGGTACTCACTGTAGCGTGGCTGTGTTAGACATGGTACTCACTGTAGAGTGGCTGTGTTAGACTTGGTACTCACTGTAGCGTGGCTGTGTTAGACTTGGTACTCGCTGTAGCGTGGCTGTGTTAGACTTGGTACTCACAGTAGCTTGGCTGAGTTAGACTTGGTACTCACTGTAGCGTGGCTGTGTTAGACATGGTACTCACTGTAGAGTGGCTATGTTAGACTTGGTACTCACTGTAACGTGGCTGTGTTAGACTTGGTACTCACTGTAACGTGGCTGTGTTAGACATGGTACTCACTGTAGCGAGGCTGTGTTAGACTTGGTACTCACTGTAACGTGGCTGTGTTAGACTTGGTACTCACTGTAGCGTGGCTGTGTTAGACTTGGTACTCACTGTAGCGTGGCTGATTTTGACTTGGTACTCACTGTAACGTGGCTGAGTTAGACTTGGTACTCACTGTAGCGTGGCTGTGTTAGACTTGGTACTCACTGTAGCGAGGCTGTGTTAGACATGGTACTCACTGTAGCGAGGCTGTGTTAGACTTGGTACTCACTGTAGCGTGGCTGTGTTAGACATGGTACTCACTGTAGCGAGGCTGGATAGCTACCTCCCTGGTCCCAGAGAAACTGACCACCTCCTCTGCAACCATATACAAGTTATGTAACTGATATACAATGGGTAAATATGTTCACATATCAGAAAACAGGATTGTTAGAACATTAGAGTAATGTTTAGCTAGGAATGTGTCACATACACTGATTACAACAGGATTGTTAGAACATTAGAGTAATGTTTAGCTAGGAATGTGTCACATGCACTGATTACAACACAATACAACCAAGGCACCAGGGGTACGGAAGCTCACCTTCTTTACGTCATCTGAAGCTGGTGGTTTGAGATGCCCCACACTACTCAGTCTGTCTCAACGATTCCATTCCAAGCTGGATACAATTACCGTATTCGACGTAATAAGCGCCCCGCTCTAATAAGCGCCCACGGCGATATTTGCTTATATAATGGCCAGTGAACAATCTTAATTAGCACTCCTTCCGATTGATCAATGTACACAAGACTTATTTATTCGCGTATAATACGCACTAGTGTGTTATGTACATACTTAATTATGGGCAATTAAATTCTGGAAAAATATGTCTGTCGTACGTAAACATTTCAGGCTGTCAGCATAAACCACGATATTTATCTTTCCACTCTGTTTTTTTTCACTAAATTATTATTCCAATAAGAGCCCCCTATTTCTAATTTTTAGAGGGCCCTGGGGGCTTATTATGTCGAATACGGTATGTTTTATTGATAGTTTCCAGTTCCCTGAATTTAGTCATATTTCATTGATAGCAGTGAGTAACAATCCACACTAGATAAGACTTTACTACACCTAATGGTTATGATTAATGTGAAGAACAATCGAGACCAAGCACACAATATTCCATCATTTGTTACAATATGGTTATCGACCTTGAAACGTGGTACAAACTAGACTAGATTACAAGTGATCTCTCATAACATGTTTGGGTTTCGGAAATTTGCTTTCGACACAATCAAGTTCAACTGTATATTTGTAGATTCGAAAATTTCAGTGACCAAAGATTATTTCCAATGCAATTGCCCAGTTAAGCCATATGTACCGTGTTTTTAGGTGAACACTTGACTTCCCTTTGCATGTGTTTGTGATGGTGCCATCGGTTGGGCAGGATACACTCACTTTCACGGATACCTGGGATCATCACTATTTGACAGCGATTCTTAAATAGTAATTCATGATTCTGCTCTCACCAGAGATTGCTAATGATTTTGGAATGTTATTGCAGTCGGAGATAGGTCTAGTTGGAACACATTTATCGAAAATTATTAAACATGTTCCGGAGATGAGGATAAAAAAGTTCATGAACGGGCGGAAAGACGGACCGACGGATGGACAACTGACGAAGATCTGTGACATTCTCACTTGACGATAACAAGGAGAGCTTAAAATCATGCTCTCTTAATGTTTACTAACGGAAATAATAGTAACATAAAAATAAATTTATGATGAAATTGAAATACATCTTTCAATACATATACATGAATACATCTCCTCGACTTTAAGTACGTGATTCAAAATGTGCACGTGGATGTTAATGCACGGCGCATAATTTAGGTGTTTGCAAGTTTGTTGTGAGCATGATACTCACACACGTGGTGTTTGAATGAAAACAGCACACAATGATTGTTTAGCGAACATGTGCTCATGAAAACACTTTTGTTTAACCGAAAATAACGTTTTCGCAAGTCAACGGCTTGCTGAACATCAACGTCTACCCGCCGTGTGTCTGCTGCCATCAGGAATGGCGCAAAACGAAGTTGCAAGACATTTTAATGTTACTCTAAACACAATATTTTCTCTTTGGAGACGTTATCTACAGCATTGTTATGATATTACATTGATCAGACGAATGACCAAATATTATGTTACTTTTAATAACATAACATTTACACCACTTTATTATGAAGCACAGTTACTTGTAATCTCAGAATCAGTTATAACTATCATTTATCAAATTGCTGAATCATATATCTAAAGCAGCCCTACCTCTTGACAATATGGCATCTATGAAGCGCTGCCACCACTCGTTACCAGATGAAGCGTCTATGTACGTGAGAGTCTTGATACTGTCTGGGATGGGGCAGTCCTTCACCAGCACTGGGATCACCAGGAGTTGACGCTCTTCCAGGCTCAGGACCATCCCCTGCTCAACCTCAAACATACACCAGCGGCTCTGAGTGAAGTCAGGCGTCAGAACCATCACAGTCTTCTCAGAAATACGGATGTGCTCAGTGATGTTCTCAATGACGCGCTTGCCACCATGGAAGTCTCGTTCGTGGACGCTGCACCTGAATCCGAATTCCGGGGCCTCCAATTTCTGCCTGACCATGTCGACCCAGTCTCGATCAGCTAATTCATAGGAGAAGAAAACGTGATACTTCTTCCCTTCCGACAAAGGTGGAGCGATGCCAGTCAACACTGGATCTGGTGGGACTGGGGGTCGCCAGGAACTACTTTCATCCTGGACAGATGGCGGACATGGGTTGTCTTGCTTTGTGTTGATACTCCCTGGACGCTGGTTCTCAGACACTCCATGTCGTGTTTGGATGCCAGTGACTTCATCAACAATGACAACATCAGTATGATGAACGCTGGGGTCAAAATGGTGACCTTCCTCATCAGCATTTACAAGTTTCCTCTCCGTGGCTTCCAGTTTAGATGCTGATTCTTTAGTCGATCTCAACACGTGTTCCTTGAGTGTGTCCAGGCGAGCATTGGGTGGTAGAGACGTCTGTTCTCGGAAGTCCACTCCGATGTCCACGTTGTCGTCGTGTGAAACGTGCAGTTCCACCCCCCATCCAGCTGCCTCATCCAGGGAGGGACCTTGGAGGGGTTTCGGCAACTCTGCACCCCCTTCATTCCCACCTTCCATCTCATCATCCGAGAAACTTGTCAGCTGTTCTGTGTCCATTTCTCAGCGGGTTCAGCTCTAAGGCTGAAGACGTAATTAAAGTTTTCACATATCATAATGACACTGCCATTTATTTTTAACCTACTTGGTGATTCCTCTAAATGTTCCTACAATGTGTTAGGATAACGATATAACATTCTATCACATTTGTATTATTTATATGAATTTGTGAAATAAGGCATCCAAGGAGAATTGTATTAACACATCTGAAACAGGTAAATAAATTTCCACAAGGTTTCAAAATCTTTTATATAACATAGTTGTAATACACAACAATCAAATTTATTTTACAGAACATATTTTTCAACTCTGAGCCTTATAATTGTTCTAATGTCATACAATGATTCCAGTTATGACACACGAAAAACACTAATCATGATATGGAGATGAACAGGACACAATTTCAGACATTTTTTTTACAGCGCCTAAAATGACTTTTGAGGGCATTACATTACATTGTTGGAATAAACAGCTGAGCAGTGGCCATGATTAGGTATTTCAATATGGCTGCTGTGGTAGCCATGTCGAAAATCAGATTTGAACTTCTGTAAGTGTCATCATTGGTTGAAAGAAGCATGTCACGTTTCAAGTCCAGTGGCTGATGATGTTTACAGACCCTGGAGTGCATTTTGAGAGTATTAAGAGCATGTTTCAACAAGTCAAATTGAGGTCAAAATATGGAATATCCCGAACATATGTGTCAATCACCACTACTAACTATACACTTGCCCAGTTCATTACATTTTGAAAAATATTGACAGAGGAAATTGTGGTGGCCATATTGAAAATGGTTGGATGGGTTGGTTTGTTGTTTAACACCACACTCAGCAATATTCCAGCAATATGACGGCGGTCTGTAAATAATCGAGTCTGGACCAGACAATCCAGTGATTAATATCATGAGCATTGATCCACGCAATTGGGATCGATGACATGCATCAACCAAGTCAGCGAACCTGACCACCCGATCCCGTTAGTCACCTTTTACGGAAAGCATGGGTTGCTGAAGACCTATTCTACCCCGGATTCTTCACAGGTCTATTGAAAATGGAAAACCTCAGCGATGATCCTAGGGACGTAAGTCTGTAACTTGGTAACGAGGGACCCAACAACCATCGTAATTGGTTCACAGGGAACCGACACCAGATAGACAGGGAGCCAATACCCAGTAGAGAGTGATCTAATACCCAGTAGACAGGGGGCAAATACCCAGTAGAGAGGGAGCCAATACCCAGTAGAGAGTGATCTAATACCCAGTAGACAGGGGGCAAATACCCAGTAGAGAGGGAGCAAATACCCACTAGATAGGGAGCCAATATCCAGTAGACAGTCAGCCAATACCCAGTAGAGAGGGAGCCAATACCAAGTAGAGAGGAAGCCAATGCCCCGTAGAGAGGGAGCCAATACCCAGTAGAGAGGGAGCCAATACCCAGTAGAGAGGGAGCCAATACCCAGTAGAGAGGGAGCTAAAACCCAGTAAAGAGAGAGTCAATATCCAGTCAAACAGGTAGCCAATACCCAGTAGAGAGGGAGCTATTACCCAGTAGAGAGGAAGCCAATACCCAGTAGAGAGGGAGCCAATATTTAGTAGACAGGGAGCCAATACCCACAAGATAGGGAGCCAATATCCAGTAGAGAGGAAGCCAATACCCAGTAGAGAGGGAGCCAATACCCAGTAGAGAGGAAGCCAATGCCCAGTAGAGAGGGAGCAAATATCCAGTAGATAGGTAGCCAATACCCAGTAGAGAGGGAGCTACTACCAAATAGAGAAGGAGCCAATACCCAGTAGAGAGGAAGCTAATACCCAGTAAAGAGAGAGCTAATACCCAGTAGAGAGGGAGCCAATACTCCATAGACAGGGGGCCAATACTCAGTAGAGAGGGAGCCAATATCCAGTAGAGAGGGAGCTAATATCCAACAGAGAAAGAGTCAATACCCAGTAGAGAGGGAGCTAATACCCAGAAGAGAGGAAGCCAATACCCAGTAGAGAGGGAGCCAATATCTAGTAGACAGGGAGCCAATACCCAGTAGACAGGGGGCCAATACCCAGTAGAGAAAGAGAGTCAATACCCAGTATAGAGGGAGCCAATATCTAGTAGACAGGGAGCCAATACCCAGTAGAGAGGGAGCTAATACCCAAAAGAGAAGGAGTCAATACCCAGTAAACATGGGGTCAATACTCAATAGACAGGGGGCCAATATCCAGTAGACAGGGAGCCAACATCCAGTAGACAGGGGGTCAATACTCAGTAGACAGGGAGCCAATATCCAGTAGACAGGGAACCCATGCCAAGTAGAGACGGAGCCAATATCCAATAGAGAAAGAGTCAATACCAGTAGAGAGGAAGCTAATACGCAGTAGAGGGGGAGCCAATATCAAGTAGACAGGGAGCAAATACCCAGTAGACAGGGAGCCAATATCCAGTAGACAGGGAGCTAATATCCAATAGAGAAAGAGTCAATACCAGTAAAGAGGAAGCTAATACGCAGTAGAGAGGGAGCCAATATCAAGTAGACAGGGAGCCAATACCCACTAGATAGGGAGCCAATATCCAGTAGACAGGGAGCCAATACCTGGCAGACAGGGAGCCGATACCCGGCAGACAGGGAGCCAATACCCAGTAGAGAGGGAGCCAATACCAGAGCCACTCAGAGATTAGTTATTACATATACTGGTTGCGGGGGAAAAGGATTGAAGTTTCACTCGTGGCTACGCCACTCGTAAAAATATTTCCTTTCCACGCCCTCACTCGACACATGAAATATGCTCTATTTATTCAATTTAATGCAACAGTAAAAGGTTAAAACATCATTTCATTACGATATACAAGATTACTTCCTTTATGAAATACACAAATATACAACACTGCCACAAAATCTTACATGTATCCTACCGTTTTACTGTTCTACAGCTACTTCGTCAATTTACAATGTGACGTGGAGCTAATATTGAACGGGGAAGTCCCCAGATATACGGTGTCAACGAGAAATGTTCCCTGTAGATGTTTAGTTGGTGAGTTGTTCCTCATTTTACCTAAGATATGAACATACCCTGATATTTAATGTAAATATGTTTTATAATTCACACTATAACACAAAATAGGGAGTTTGCAGTCGAGAGAATAAGTCATGTTATACTTGAAGACTTGTGCCTTGAGAATCTTTTCACCTTCCTCTCCACGAACCTCCTAGGGTAATCGAGTCAGTATACGTCCCTTCCCCACACAAGGTCTCAGAGCTACGTTTATCGAGAGGTATGCCTGTTATACTCGCGCGTGTAGTTCAACTATACTGTATTTAAGCTTCCGCACGACAATACGAAATGCGCAGCTATTAATAGACAAATCCCAGTCAAATTATAACAATTCCATACATTTTTGTCTGAATAAATATTACGAACGCAGTATTCTTATATATATAATATGTATATATACTCACTCGATCAAGCGCATACAATTTTAACACATTTAAAGCCATTATTTTTTTTATCTGTTCTGTTAGTGAGGTGACGATTGAGATCATCTGTGGTTTGATTCAGTCTCTTTAGACATCGTGGTAATGTATCTCACTACCCTAAACCAATAAATATATGCACGTTTACAAAATCCGTTTGAATAGGTACTAGAACGGACATATACATACATTTTCTTCATACGCATTCTTGCAATCACAAATATAGCTGACAAACGATAGCCGAACTTTCTTTTCAGAACACAGGCCACTTTATTTTACTCTGATCCCTATTTTTCCTTTTTCTAGAGACAAACGTTGCTATCAAAAGTGGTACGTCATCTGAGAGGAAAACAGATATACTGGTTGGCTCACTTTTTTACACAATATTTTCTGTTAACTATCGGATTTAGATAATTTCTATCAAAGGGGAATCTTGACTTAATATTAGCTTTTCCACTATATCATATATCGTCGAATTCTCATATAAATGATTAAATATATGGAAAAATGCATTTTTACAGCTTTGGGGTATTCGAAGCCAGTGGCATTGACGTTGTCTCACTTTAATCTATTCAACGTTTTTCAGAATGTATTCTTTGTAGCCACCCTACACATTATCAAAGAAGAGCCTTGCATATTTTGCCACTGATTGGTCACTATGTATGTATGACCCCTACTGGTCACTCTACACAATTTCATTATTATATAATAGAAACATTCTTGTGTATTTCACACATCAATGAAACGGGAGGCTTACGTTGGTCTGGGAGAGTGACAACTACAGACTCTTCATATTGCCTTTTTTGGTGTGTGTAAAAATCCTCATAGGCTACCCCTACAATGGGTATAATACAATGCCTTTTCTATTCGGTCCACTGACATGTCACTCTTACACAATATATTATGAAAAAAAGAGCATTGAGTATGTTTCATGTTTGTTTTATACCGGACGAGAACATTGGTCCGGAAAAGGGACAACTACAGACTTTTCATATTGGCAGGCATAGGTATGTATGACTCCTACTAGCCACTCTACACATTATTATATAAAAGAAATATCCTTGTGTGTTTTCACTTATCAATTAAACGGAAGACGAACACTGGTCGCGGAAAGAGACATCTACAGACTTTTCACATTGCTTGCATATAGCATGTGGGTAAATAATCGTTGCTAACCTCACAGCTGTTGTAATAGATTTATTATTTTTACTATGTATGACTCCTACTGGCCACTCTCCACATTATTATATAAAAGAAATATCCTTGTGTGGTTTCACTTATCAATTAAACGGAAGACGATCACTGGTCGCGGAAAGAGACATCTACAGACTTTTCACATTGCTTGCACATAGCATGTGGGTAAATAGTGGTAGCTACCTCCAACACTGTTGAAATATAATGATTATGTTTACTATGTATGACTCCTAGTGGACCGTCTACACATTATTATATAAAAGAAACATCGCTGTGTGTTTTCAACTATCAATTAAACAGGAGACGAACACTGGTCGCGGAAAGGGATAACTACAGACTTTTCATATTGCTTGTATATAGCGTGTGGGTAAATAATTGTCACTACCTCAAAAGCTGCTGTAATATATTTATTATTTTAACTATGAATGACTCCTACTGGACCATCTACACATCTTTATAAAAAAGAAACATCCCTGTGTGTTTTCTGGTATTAAGTAAATGGGAGACGAACACTGGTCGCGGAAAGGGACAACTACAGACTTTTCATATCTCTTGCATATAGCGTGTGGGTAAATAAATGAAACTACGTCAAAAGCTGCTGTAATATATTTATTATTTTAACTATGAATGACTCCTACTGGTCACTCTATACATCATTATATCAAAGAAACATCTCCGTGTGTTTTCCCATATTAATGAAAAGGGAGACTAACACTGGTCGCGGAAAGGGACAACTACAGACTTTTCATATTGCTTGTATGTAGCACGTGAGTAAATAATCGTTGCTACCTCCACAACTCTTGAAATTCTTGCAGTAGGTATTGAGTTCATGAAAACCCCAGAAGTGTTTCTTGCTGTAGGTATTGAGCTCTAGAAAACACCAGAAGTGCTTCTTGCTGTAGGCATTGAGTTCTAGAAAACACCAGAAGTGTTTCTTGCTGTAGGTATTGAGTTCTAGAAAACACCAGAAGTGTTTCTTGCTGTAGGCATTGAGTTCTAGAAAACACCAGAAGTGTTTCTTGCTGTAGGTATTGAGTTCTAGAAAACACCAGAAGTGCGTCTTGCTGTAGGCATTGAGTTCTAGAAAACACCAGAAGTGTTTCTTGCTGTAGGTATTGAGTTCTAGAAAACACCAGAAGTGCGTCTTGCTGTAGGCATTGAGTTCTAGAAAACACCAGAAGTGTTTCTTGCTGTAGGTATTGAGTTCTAGAAAACACCAGAAGTGTTTCTTGCTGTAGGTATTGAGTTCTAGAAAACACCAGAAGTGCGTCTTGCTGTAGGTATTGAGTTCTAGAAAACACCAGAAGTGCGTCTTGCTGTAGGCATTGAGTTCTAGAAAACACCAGAAGTGCGTCTTGCAGTAGGTATTGAGTTCTAGAAAACACCAGAAGTGTTTCTTGCTGTAGGTATTGAGTTCTAGAAAACACCAGAAGTGCGTCTTGCTGTAGGTATTGAGTTCTAGAAAACACCAGAAGTGTTTCTTGCTGTAGGTATTGAGTTCTAGAAAACACCAGAAGTGTTTCTTGCAGTAGGTATTGAGTTCTAGAAAACACCAGAAGTGTTTCTTGCTGTAGGTATTGAGTTCTAGAAAACACCAGAAGTGCGTCTTGCAGTAGGTATTGAGTTCTAGAAAACACCAGAAGTGCGTCTTGCTGTAGGTATTGAGTTCTAGAAAACACCAGAAGTGTTTCTTGCAGTAGGCATTGAGTTCATGAAAACTCCAGAAGTGTTTCTTGCAGTAGGCATTGAGTTCTAGAAAACTCCAGAAGTGTTTCTTGCAGTAGGTATTGAGTTCTAGAAAATTCCAGAAGTGCTTCTTGCAGTAGGCATTGAGTTCTAGAAAACACCAGAAGTGTTTCTTGCAGTAGGTATTGAGTTCAAGAAAACTCCAAAAGTGTTTCTTGCAGTAGGTATTGAGTTCTAGAAAATTCCAGAAGTGCTTCTTGCTGTAGGTATTGAGTTCTAGAAAACACCAGAAGTGTTTCTTGCAGTAGGTATTGAGTTCAAGAAAACACCAGAAGTGTTTCTTGCAGTAGGTATTGAGTTCTAGAAAACAGCAGAAGTGTTTCTTGCAGTAGGTATTGAGTTCTAGAAAACACCAGAAGTGCGTCTTGCTGTAGGTATTGAGTTCTAGAAAACACCAGAAGTGATTCTTGCTGTAGGTATTGAGTTCTAGAAAACACCAGAAGTGCGTCTTGCTGTAGGTATTGAGTTCTAGAAAACACCAGAAGTGCGTCTTGCTGTAGGTATTGAGTTCTAGAAAACACCAGAAGTGCGTCTTGCTGTAGGTATTGAGTTCTAGAAAACACCAGAAGTGTTTCTTGCTGTAGGTATTGAGTTCTAGAAAACACCAGAAGTGTTTCTTGCAGTAGGTATTGAGTTCAAGAAAACACCAGAAGTGTTTCTTGCAGTAGGTATTGAGTTCTAGAAAACACCAGAAGTGCGTCTTGCTGTAGGTATTGAGTTCTAGAAAACACCAGAAGTGTTTCTTGCAGTAGGCATTGAGTTCTAGAAAACACCAGAAGTTGTTCTTGCAGTAGGTATTGAGTTCAAGAAAACACCAGAAGTGTTTCTTGCAGTAGGTATTGAGTTCAAGAAAACTCCAGAAGTGTTTCTTGCTGTAGGTATTGAGTTCAAGAAAACACCAGAAGTGCTTCTTGCAGTAGGCATTGAGTTCAAGAAAATTCCAGAAGTGTTTCTTGCAGTAGGCATTGAGTTCAAGAAAACACCAGAAGTGCTTCTTGCAGTAGGCATTGAGTTCAAGAAAATTCCAGAAGTGTTTCTTGCAGTAGGCATTGAGTTCAAGAAAACTCCAGAAGTGTTTCTTGCAGTAGGTATTGAGTTCTAGAAAACTCCAGAAGTGCGTCTTGCAGTAGGTATTGAGTTCTAGAAAACTCCAGAAGTGTTTCTTGCAGTAGGTATTGAGTTCTAGAAAACCCCAGAAGTGTTTCTTGCTGTAGGTATTGAGTTCTAGAAAACTCCAGAAGTGTTTCTTGCAGTAGGTATTGAGTTCTAGAAAACTCCAGAAGTGCGTCTTGCAGTAGGCATTGAGTTCTAGAAAACACCAGAAGTGCTTCTTGCAGTAGGTATTGAGTTCAAGAAAACTCCAGAAGTGTTTCTTGCTGTAGGTATTGAGTTCAAGAAAACTCCAGAAGTGTTTCTTGCAGTAGGCATTGAGTTCTAGAAAACACCAGAAGTGTTTCTTGCAGTAGGCATTGAGTTCTAGAAAACACCAGAAGTGCGTCTTGCTGTAGGTATTGAGTTCTAGAAAACTCCAGAAGTGTTTCTTGCAGTAGGTATTGAGTTCTAGAAAATTCCAGAAGTGCTTCTTGCAGTAGGCATTGAGTTCTAGAAAACACCAGAAGTGTTTCTTGCAGTAGGTATTGAGTTCAAGAAAACTCCAAAAGTGTTTCTTGCAGTAGGTATTGAGTTCTAGAAAATTCCAGAAGTGCTTCTTGCTGTAGGTATTGAGTTCAAGAAAACTCCAGAAGTGTTTCTTGCAGTAGGTATTGAGTTCAAGAAAACTCCAGAAGTGTTTCTTGCAGTAGGCATTGAGTTCTAGAAAACACCAGAAGTGCGTCTTGCAGGA